TTCCTTTTACTTTCAAATTTATGGTATTATTAGTTTTAATTATATTAACCCTTTAATCTCTTAGCGGTCGAATTCGACCGCGGCGCTATTCCGTCAAAATTCAAGCGGTCGGATTCGACCGCGCACACCCACAGCACTTGAAACCATTAAAACTTATATTTATAGACTACTTTTCTATGAAGAAGTTTGGCGTTATAGAATCAATATAAAATGTTCTATCCTCTAGTGCAATAAAAAAAACAGTTGGATGACCTATGGATATTTATTTATAATCTACGTTCATTACGTACGCCATTTTCGTGTGAATGTTATTGTGTTAATTTTTGGATTTTTCGAGTGTTTCAGTATAGTGTTTTATTATGAACTTGTAATGAAAGTTTTTATGTGAATATAATTTATCTTTTTACGTAAATAATTTCGAGAAATATATATTGAAATAATTGTGATTTTCACGCTGCCGACATTCGCTTGGTATGTTTTTTCTTGTTATCAAAATACAATATCCTTTTTGTAATAAAGTAAAACCAGACTTTTATATAGAGAATTTTGTATAGATTTTATAATGCCAAACTTCTTCGTAGAAAAGTAGTCTCTAAACATAAGTTTTAATGTTTTAAGTACTGCGGGTGGTGCGGTCGCATGCGACCGCTCCGGATTTGACGGGCGCATGCGACTGCATGGGATTTTTATGGGGATTGAAGGGTTAAAATGTATTTAATTATACTATAGTACGGCCAACGAGCAGCGATACCAAATGTAAACAAAACCAATGCAAGGTTATTAGGAACAGCATAACTTTTTGATAGTTAGATTATATATTTAAGTAGACAATATAGTTTTAAAAAATGTCTAGCAAACCAAAAAAAATAGACTTTATAAATTTTGTTATAATTTAAATTATTGTATAATGTAGATTTAAATTAAATACATGCTTTCTACGCCATTTCTTTTCTGTATGGGTATTTATCATTAGGCCAAGTTTCTTCAACATATTTGTAGGTATTAATAACCATATTTTTTTCATTAACAGTAAAACTAGTCACATAAAATTAAATTAAAATGATATACATACTTTACATACATGTATCTTTAATAAATTAAGAAAAGTTTTATTATTACAGTTGCTGTTTTTTTAAATATCTTTAAGATAACTTTAAAGTTTACTCCGAACCAAGAAGTTTTTAATTAAAACTACTAAACAACATTTATAAGCCTATTCCTATACATACCTTTGGATGTTTCTTTTCCGGAGAAGTAGTCTGTTGATTTATCTCTCGACGTACTTAGTTGTGACTCCATTATTAACCACTCTTAATAAAAAAACAATTATCAACAAAACAAAATAACAATTATTAAATAAACAACAATTACCAAAATGGCCTCCCGAATATTGGCAAACCCCTCTTGACCCTGACATGTTTTTGCCGGAAAAACGAGACATTACGACAAATACACAAGATGGAAAGAGATAGATAATAAGATTGTCAACTCCCCAGTCGACCTTTCGTATCCCTGCTAGTTGGCCGTGCTATAGGTACTTAAATCATTTGCATCTTTCATTCCTAACATAAAATAACATAAACAAACAAATATACAATACCTACCTACTATCTTAATATAGTCGTGTAACAATCTGTTTTCCCATATTATATGGAATGGATAAAGGGTTTAATGATGGTAACACTGGAAGTTACATTTGTGTGCCTTTAAATTGCGTAGATAAGTTTAAGAAAAAACACCGCCGTTACTGCGCGTAATTATACAAATTTTTAAATTAATACTTCATATTTTATGCCCAGCTTTATTTAAGATAGCATTGCCATTTAAGTAACTGCAGTTTGATAATTCCAACCAAACAATTTGGATATTTTAGTTACAATTTTATACAAATTGTGTTATTTCTGTAGAATTGTAGTCTGACTTAACTCAACCAGTTTTATTTAATATAAATTAAAAGAAATAATAATATCCACCATATGCGAACATTTAAAGCAAAATAACGCAAACATACAATTATCAGTTGTAATAAATATATGGCTTAAAGAGATTTTCTATATTTAGTGTGAAACTTAATCATATAACGATTATTGGTTTTCCATATTTGATTAAGTCTTCAAATTCACTTTTTAATCCAGTAGTCGTAAACTTTATTATATATTCTAATGTGTGATACATTAGTGGTAAAATTGAGTAACCGTCACACATACATAACGTGAGGATAGGACGTTTTTTTTACATTCTATGAGCTTTTTGACGCATACTCGTTTTTGAATCATTGGGTTTTAATGTAGGTAATTAAAATTAAAATAAAATATCGTATTTGAGAAAAAGTATAAATGATAGTGGGAAGTTCAAGCAGATTTAGAATTAAACAACCACATTTGCATTTAATGCATTGTATTTATTTTAACACAGAAATCTAACTAAGTATATCAGGCAACATTATCCCATTTAGTAAAGTACTCCATGTGTATATACAGGATTATTTTATGATACTGCTATTAATAAATGATTAAAATAAAATATTCGAAAATAATATTCTTTTATTTTATTACTGAAAGAAGACCCTTGTACCTAACACAGAAACACATTCTACGAGTTATCAAAACGAAACTTACTCAAAAAAACCCATAGTAAACGACGTCGTAGCTTCTTGTAATACATAGGCACATTGTGTACATATCAGTAAATAAAAAAATAAACAGTTAAAAACCTAGCTGAACTTATAATCGTATTAGTTTATAAACATTATAGAAGTAACAAATTAAAATAGGTATAGGTATGTAATCATCATCATTACAGCCCTTCACAAGTCCACTGCTGAACATAGGCCTCCCCCAAGTAATGCCACAAAGCACGGTCCTGAGCCACCTGCATCCATCGACTTCCTGCATGTCTTACCAGGTCGTCACTCCATCCAGTGGGGGTCGCCCTACACTTCGCCTACCGGTACGAGGCTGCCACTCGAGAACCTTTTTTCACCAACGGTCGTTGGTTCTTCGAGCTATATGGTTGGCCCTGCCACTTCAGCTTACTAATCCGTTGGACTATGTCGGTCACTCTGGTTCTACTGGTTCTAGGTATGTAGTGATGAGGGCTAATAATTTTCCACTCACCAGATGTCGTTACTTGACACTTAATGTGGGCGCCGTGTCCCCGCCGCACGCTGCCGCCGCCGCCGCCGTCATTCACCGCGCGGCGTGAGTGGCGTAAAGAAAGACTTTCGTTTGTTTTAGTGATTTTTTACCTACTTTTTTCATAAAAATGACTGAAATATCGGAAACTAGTGTACATAAGCTTACAATTGAGACTTTTACGACGCAAAAACTAGAAGCAGCTTTTGCTGCAAACATTTTGGGCATCTGATATTGAATGAAGCCAATAAGAAAAAAATTCTTGACTCGGACCGTGTTTATTGTTCTGCATGCCTCATTGTTGTGAAAAAAGAGAGTGGGGATATAACGTTTGGATCGTGAGCACCTACCAAACCTACTTACATACTTATCATAATGTTGTACCTATGGCACGTGGCAACTTGGAAAATAACCCTAAAATATATTTTTCTATTTACATACACCAATTTTTGTAGCTTTTCAAAACATTTAATCAAAAGCGTTATGAAAAACACTTTGAGTATTGTTTTTATTGTTGTTTTTTGGACATAAGCTTAAATTAATGTTCGCGCCATGTTATTCCATGTTGATAATTTTGTACTACTTATTCTTTCATTCATTGTATAATACGGTGTATAGTACACTCGCCATGCTTTTGCTTTTTCGCAGCGTGAAATAAAAAAATACAATTAAAAGTAAGCACTGGAAATTTGACTCGCCATCTGAAAGATGATCATCAAATTCGAGATACCAGTGCTGACAAGGCCAAAACTAATATTAAAGACTTCTTTGCTGTTGCACGACCCGCAAAACCCGGTAGCTCCACAATCACAGGTCCCTCAAGATATGATAAATGGCTTTTGGTCAGAGATTTGGCTTTATGGTTCTGCAACTCCTTACTTCCATTCGATTCTGTTTCTGATGAGGGCATGGTGGAATTTTTAAGGTGATACATTCAAGTGTTTTGCTTTTTACGACTAATTCGTATTGTATGTTCGAGCTTTCGTATATATATGGCAAATGCGCCGTTTGCGAGGTGCTCGTGAGCTGCCCGTAAACTGCGCACGCGCAGTTCTTGTAATGTTTAGTGCCTAGCTTTAGCGTAACTGACGCATGACTACGTAAATGCGTGTTGCGCACATGCAGGTCCGTTCGCTTTCATACTGTGAAGGCATGGATGGATGGAAATCAGAGCAGTGCAGCGCGTTTTTTTAAATAAATTTCCTTGTATTTATCAAATTTTACTAGCTTAACTTACTTGTGATAACATTTCTAAATGGCTCCCTTCTATAACAGATAATTGTAATTTTATTGCCTATTTCAGAAACATAACATCATTATAAATGACAATGATATTCCATCGCGTTGGTGGCACCGCTTTGTCAGATATATATTAGTCAATGTTGAACAAAGTGTAGGAAACAATTTCCATCGATGCTGCTCAGCACTTTGCCATGACCTTTGACTTGTGGACTGATCAGTATCGACGACTGAATTATATGACGTTCACACTGCATTATTTAACTACAGGTAAGTAACTTGATTACAGTATGAACATCACCTTTAATAGTAAGATCAACTAAGTACATATCATGATTTTTATTTTCAGATTTTGTCTTAAAAGCTTTAACTTTGAGCACAGAAATAATAAATGGCAAAAAAACCGGAGAAAAAATTATAATAAATTAATACTATTGAGGACATAAAGAAGAAGTTTACATTGGACGGCAAAGCGATTATATCAGTTACTGATGCTGGAAGTAATGTGAAACGAGCAGTTGGGATGGCCACTTTGACTCACCATCTATGTCTAGGTCATGGGCTTCGCAATCTGGTGACAGTCGATGGCATAAACTCGGTTCCAGAAATTACACTATTAGTTCAGAAATGCAAAAAAGTCGTCAAGGCCAAGATATCGCGTCAAGATATCGCGCCCCAGAGTTGCAAGCTGAAGCCAAAAAGGTACAACAGCTAGAGTTTTTGGAGCAAATAGAAGGCGTCATTGAAACGTTAGAAAGTGACGAGAGCAACCCTGTTCCTGAAGTTGATCTGATACTGAAAAATGCCGAAGAAACCGAAATTGAACACAGGGCTTTACCATCAGGAGCCGAAAATTACAAACATATTCCAACAATCAAAACCGCAACCCCAACTCTTTGGCACAGCATTTTAGAAATGCTATGGTTCATAAAAGATAGCTTGATCTCTGCGACAGCCGTCAGTAAAAGTCATGCCTATGAAGTCCTGAATTTCTTAGTAGTACAGACAGTACCTGTCAATGTCATACTTTATGGCCATGCACTAATTAGGTCGGCATGCCCATAAAGTATGACATTGACAGGTACTGTCTGTACTACTAAGAAATTCAGGACTTCATAGGCGTGATTTTACGGACAGCTGTCGCAGAGATCAAGCTAGGGGCCGTCCATTAATCACGTGATCTTTTTTTTTCTTTTTTTTTTGACCACCCCCTCCCCCCTTGGTGATACGTGGTCAGGTTTAAGACTATGCCCCCATCCCACCCCCAACATCACGTGTATTTTTAGTAGCTACAAGGAATCTTAAAATTTTTAGAATATTATCTTTAAATACAAGTATAAAGTACAATCTTATTTCATTCTGAAATTAAGGACCATGATAAAAATGTCTAGACACAAAGGTTGTAGGTTATTTTTAATTGGCATAAAAATAATAATAAACGAGTGGCGTAATCATGCGGAAAACATATAGTGAACATATTTAATGTATATTAATCCTCGGACCACGGATTAGCAAGACAATCTTCAACACTAACAATTGGATAAGCATCTTGCAGGTTAGTTATTGGAACTGTGCTTTGTTGAAGATCAACGTTGGTTTAATCAAGCCACTCGGTGTCATCATTTTCGCGCACAACGCAGAGAATCTCTCTCGATTTAGCGATCGATCGTCGCGTGAGGACGCGTGAAGGACAAACATTTTGCATCTCTAGACTATAATTGCTGGTATTAAGTTGCTCGTGACATGAATTTACATGTTCCTTAACTTTCTTCGTTGTACAGAAGTACAATCTACACCGCTGGCACGTCCTTTCCAAGAGTTGCTGACGATCCTTCTGCAGACTAGGACAATACAAGTCATAAGGCAATTTTTTAAAGCCCTCATGCGTTGGGGTGATTCCAAGAGACCGACGCAGAAGAAATGTAGCAAAGGTCTTGCCATCGTGCTCTTAAGGCTTCGGAATACATAAGCCACTAGATGACTGTAAAATTGTGTAAGGAGGTATAACGAAGCGCTCCGAAAGAATAGATCGAAGAGAACTCCGCGTATGTCCACAGCAAGCGCGGTCATCACACTTCACCACCTGGTAATAATGATATTAAGATATTTTAATTGTATTGTCGTATTAGATAAGAAGAATAAATGATAAAATAATAATAAGTGAGAGTTTACTAATGTACCTGAAGCAAATACTGGCTCTCTCGCACATGCTCGCTATACTACTGCGGAGAAGGCAGGTCTGGAATAAAGCTTTCAGAACTGTCATCGGGCTCGACATACTCTGCTACGACGTCATGGCCGTCGATAACCATATTATCCCATACTTCTGCGAGAACTTTTCCAGCTTTCTGAAAGTTAATTTTTTCAAGATCATGATCTTTTGTTCTCCCTTGTTCATCCAAATGACTTCCATAAGAATCATGCGGAAGTATGAGTCCAGATAATTCCCGGCTTAGAGGCGCTATTCTTCTCTCAACACGGTTGAACGCGCTTCTGCCAGGTGCATTCGTAAAGATGAATATTGCATCTAGATCATGCTTGACAAAGTGGTGTATTTCATGGGAAATAACTTTTGGATATCTCGGGTTTTCATCAGGTTCTCCATCAGATGAAATCAAAACAACTGGTTTCAGGCATCCTTCATCTCGCATAATTTCCTTGAAATTGTTGAGAGTAGCAAGCTGATTGAAGTCCACAGCATGAGTAGAAACTGTCGAAGAGGAATGTTTGTCACTTCTAATCGCCACATATGTTGGCCCTGAGTACGTAATTGCTTCAGCACGGCCCATATCATTTCCTTTTATGATGCACCCAGCATATACACTAGGGATTAATTTATGCCTTGCAGCAATCATCCAATTATGATCAGGCAATGAAACACGATATTCGACATGCACCAGGAGCGGAGCTTGTTTATTTGCCGCTGTCAAACCTATAGGTACCTGGACTTTATCATCTTGCGACAGAAAAAACACTTGTTTTGGCCCGAGAATAGATGCCAACGTTTCCAAGGATCTTATTGTAGCGACACAAAAATGTTGATCGACGTGAGCCTTATGGTGATCTACCTCAGGGCGACTTAATTTGGCAGGCACAGTGACTACATGCCTTTTTACCCTCCAAGGTGGTATAATTTCTTGGGAGCAACCGAAGGTACGTGCCACTCTTCGAAATCCGTGCTCCTTTAGCTTCTCATGGAGATCAGTAAGTGTTCGGCAACTGCGAACAATTTCTTAGCGACGCCGTTCCTCCGCAGAAGCACCAAACATAGCCAAATCGACGATAGTTTTTAGCAATTGCGGTTGTTGCTCTTCCAGGCGTGGGCGACCTGCGGCAGAACGCACCTTAAGAAGATTAGTTACATTCGGACTCTGATTGCAAGCAAATTCAATCTTTGATTTTATTGATAATCCTTCTTCCGTAGTTCTTTTGTGCATTTATCAGTTTCTCGGCGCAGTTTCGTTACATCACGCGTCTCATTTTCACTGACGCACAGAGAATCCCTACGACGAATAGCTAAGTCAAGTTCCATTTGAAGAAAGGAAATCTGATTCTTCAACTTATCCTGTGCAGGAGTAGCACGTACAGGCTGCGGTATAGAGCTGCTTGCACTTGGTGTATCCGGTGAATTCCCATCGCTACACTCCAAATCTTGACAATTACGTTTCCGAGCCCCTGGAATGATTAAATATCTATTTATAAATTAATGCTGATATTAAATTTCTCTTTATCATGAATTCGTAATTAAGTAAAAAAACTATAGGTGAAGTCTTATTTATTAGGACAATGCCCTTAAATAGATACCTATTAGTTTTAACTTACCTTTTTAGATTTAGAACAATAATAGAGAATATTGGAAGACTTCTTTGCTTGGTGCTTTCGGCGGTAATCTGGTAAAAGATCATTCGCCCACTTCATAAATTCTTCTTTTGTAGTATATTTTTGTTTCGCATCAGCCCACAACTCATTAAATTCTTTCTGAGCTATACCGGGTTTATTTCCTTTCTTATACTCCGCAAAAAGGTCTTTATACAGATCACCTACTTTAAACATTGTTTTAATGCAAAACGTACAAGGGTAACGGTTTACGCGTGTATTCGGCGCCAAAACAACAGAATATCTGGCGTCTGGCGACTGGTGTGCCGAGCCGGGCGGTTGTCGGCGGCGCATGAGTACTTCGTTCTTTAAAGCTTGTCTAAACTGAAATGACGCGCCCCACTACTTAATTAGTTGATTTCGATGTGTGAGTGTAAATATTAATAACGACGCTTCATCTGTGTTTGAGCGTCGACTGCTCCGCGAACTATGATCTGTATGCCTACGTGACGGTCGACTAGTCGCGTGATAAATCCGACAACGCTCTCCTTAGGAAGCAGCGTTGGGGCATTGTATGAAACAAAACGTCCGCTCTCTGCCACCTTCAGGCAATTATGACAAGTTGGACAAAAAATCCAAGAAAATCCGCTTCTTAGCAAATACGGTCTACAAAGAAATTGAAGTTAAATTATTTAATTATGGTGGTATTTCTTCTATTTGTTAATTAATGGTTCAAAATATATTGTTTTTATTTTGTAATTATGTAGATTAATTAAACCAGATTGATATTCTTTCGAAATATTTATTTTACAAATTAGTATAATTACTATAATAATATGCATGTAAATTATGTAAAGTATCACTATTCACTCATCTCCATAGATTCACTTTCATCTGAATCAGAGTCATTAACAGAAATAATAAATTCAAAGTCCATGTCAAAATATTGCAAATACTGTTTTTCTGTGTCTTCAACATGCCGACATGCATTTGCCCACATAGTACTATCAATCATTTCGAGTCGTTCATTTATAAGTGACATAATGGATGTAAAATTTTGTGAAACATTTTTATTAGCCACGTAGTTTTTTAATATCCCCCATATATTTTCAATTGGATTTAGTTCCGGGTGATAAGGTGGTAGTCGTAGAATTTCAAACCCTTTTTGATTGAATCAGTTCGTCAATAACGAACCTCTTGAATCTGTCCTTATTTTTTAAAATAAGATCGTACAGTTCAATTTTTTTCATTGATTCGTCAAACTGAATATTTTTTTCTGCAAGCCACGTTTGCATGACTTGCTTATTTGAGTTGGAGTTGGGAGCTTTTTCTAATAAAGCATTGTAGTAAGAAGCGTTATCCACAACGATGACAGCCTTTACCGGGAGATTGGGCAGTAATTGTGTGGTGAGCCATTTCTTATAATTATCCAGATTCATGTTGTCGTGATAATCTCCACTTGTGTAGTTTGCTTTATACACCAAACTAGCATTTGGAACAAATCCTTCACATCCACCAGCGTCAACAATTATGACCCGAGTACCTTTCGACAACTTTTTTTGCACTGCTGATACTCCTTTGACTGGTTTCCAGCACATGTTTTGCAGATGTGTTGTATGAACATAACTTTCATCTGTGTATACGATATAGCGGCCCTCGTCACGATATTTTTTTTAATTGCCCAAATATTGAAAGCGTAACATTTGGATATCATGCTTTTCTACTAAAGCTTTACGGTTGTCATCTATTTTGGACCACTCGTAGCCCGATTCCTTCAAAATGATACGCAGAGTTTCTATACAACCGTTAAAACCAATTCTTTCTGTTAATACTTGTTTCAGCTTTCTTAACGTTGGTAATTCATTAAATTCTGTATGAAATGTCGCTTTTTTGTGACGTATCATTTGATGTACTAGCTTGCTTCTCTTCTTTCAAAATTCGTGTAATCGTAGATTCACTAACACCAACGGCTTGAGCAGTTCGCCATCTAGCGTCAGATAGTTTTTCCACTCCATTTTCCGCTTCATATTTCATTCTGCGGTACACTTTCGCAGTAATTTCTTTTGCCTGTAAAATGTATGCATGTAAACCACCATAAAAACGATGTATGATTAAATAAGATTTTAAACAATAACGTATTATTTTACTTACTTGACTCCGTAAATGTTTTTTGGTCGACATGCTGACGGTACTTTTACAATCGAACGACGCGTGCTCCTACGCTTGAGTCTCACCGACAACCGAATGACCAATTACAATGGTATTTGTATATGTATTGCGTCCATATTTTAAATTTGCTTGTGTGCGTTAATGCGATAGTGGGGCGCGTCATTTCAGTGGCAAGTCAAGGTCACACCACCCGCCGCTTTTCGGTTAAGAAATCGCGCGTTTGACAAAAAAAATAAATACATGTGATATTTTACTACTCCCCCCCATCCCCCTTTGTGATATTTCGTGATTTTAGTCAAACCCCTCCCCCCCCCTTTCAAGCCTCACGTGAATAATGGATGGCCCCCCTATCTTTTATGAACTATAGAAAGTATAATCCATATGCAACCGATAACCTATAAATAATATGTTGAGGAAGATTGGCCAAGAAGAACTCAGAATAACTCAAAGTGAGTGGATTCTTATAGAAGATCCCCTGATCTATAAGAATCCACTCACGGTCGGGAATTAAAAAATCAAATAAATTAAAAATAAAAGTAAAAATAATTTTAATCAATGTATAGATTAATTTTTGTTATACGACGTTAAACCCATTATCTAATAAGTATTTGTTACCCAATAACATTGAAATAAACAAATTTTTAACATATAAATATGCCTTTTATCATGATAAAACTGTCATATCATTTTATAAAATATAAATATTGATCATTGACACGTTGCCCAGGATTAGCATGTCACTTTTGGTTACCGTAATATACATCTAAATTCATTTAAAGAATGTCTCCTATGTTATACATATGTTATTCCTACATAAATGGAACGAAAACAGCGATGTAAATGTGCGAAGACTGGTATTTTCGATCCGCCCAGCTAATGCGACGATTGATCAAATATTGTATAATAAGGATTATTATACTACTTAAGTGTACATTATTGATAATCACCTGTGGCAATGAAACAATCACCTACGAATCACATACATATAATGATTTTATATTTTAATTGTACAACATAATATTATATTGTAAATTAAGTCTAAATAAAGTCCTGCTGACTTACGGGGTTCCCCGAACCAGTGGTAAAATCAAAAAGTTTCAGTAAGTATTTTTATATTATATTATATATATATATATATATATATAATATAAAAAATATAAAATATATAAAATTAAATTTAAAAATCTTTTATTCTTTTAAAACAAATTCTCCTTACAACGGGAAAACCCCACTTCCAGCGGTGGACTTCGGGCTACAAAAGAGATTACACGAGTACATTCGAGAGGCTGTGCAAGATACATAGATAGATCTGCGATGGATACAGAAGACCTGCAGCGTGGCTTAATCACTTAATTTATCTAAATCATTCAATCGTGGGTTAAGCCACGCTGCAGCAATATTTAGTTGAGACCTGCGAAAACTACACTACTTTTTATCGTTGCGTGACCATGTTGCAGCTATATGGTTGCAAAACGAATGGTTAGGCTCGAGCAGGGTAGAACCACGCTCTCAGAGTATTCGAGCGTGAGACAGCACCATAACGCTGCTGTGTTTCATATGATGAGTGTAGATAACGTGAGATTATTCTTCCTGGTAACGAGGCATACTATTGATTTCTTATATTTACGCGAACACTACACATTGAAATAATACTAGTTTTTACGGAATTTATCGCGTATTATATTTATAAGCGATAAACTCCGTAAAAACTAGTATTATTTCAAGGCATACTATTCCTATTCCGTACGGAACGCACCCAGTGTGGGTCGCACAACTGAAGCGTAACGGTGATCTAGTACATGGAGGATTATATTTTACATCATGAAGAATGCTTGTGTCCCGCATAGGGAAGGCAGGCGTATTAATTTCATATTACATACATATGTAGTTTTCCAAAGACTGACATAGAATTCTAGTGGGAAAAAATATAGCAGTTCTTTGTCAGTTTTTTTTTTCAGTTTGTCACACAATGTCAGTTAATTGAGAAGATAGTTTTAAACAAAGGTTTATCAGTATCTACAGTATTATATTAATACACAAAACAATGCCTTAGTGGTTTTCTTTATTTATGTTTAATCTAATTAGTATAAAATATAAATAGTAGTACAAAAACAAACATTATTCTCGTACATTTTTCAACGTATTAACTTCCCCTGAGTGCTGCCCTGGAGGCAGAAAAAGTCATGGATTCGTCATTTCCATAATAAGACTTAAGCACCATAGATTTAGAAAGCCGTGATAGCTTAAATAGTTAACGCTCGCTGTAAATATAACTGAACGCGAGTAACCCGGGTTCGATCCCGCCGGCACTAATGAAATTATTAATTGCAATTCTAAGTGCTGATTTACCACGTGCTTGGCGGTGAAGGGAAACATCGTGAGAAAACCTGCATGTCTGAGGAATAAGAAAAAATATTTCGAAGACATGTGAAGTTCGCCAACACGCATTGGGGCAGCGCGGCGGACACTTCCTTGACCTAAAACCCTCTCAGAAATGAGGAGAGGCCTGTGCCCAGCTGTGGGACGTATATAGGCTGTAACTTTACTTTTTTACTTTACCATAGACTTTACGCTCAACAAGATTCTTCCACCCCTATTACTGTTCCCTCCAGCTCATCATTAAGAAATGAAAAGATTTGTCGAAAGAGTTTATAGAAATCCGATAGTATTTAAAAAAAATCTGGATTGTCTCGTAATTTGGCTCTTTTTACATAATACTGGCTATCTTGTAATCTTTAGGTGTTAAGGAGATGCACCCATAACGGTGGCAATATGTTTTCTTCTTGGCTAAATAGAACAACAATGCAATTGCAATATCGTCGTCCATATTCACTGGCTGAATATCTGTACCTACTCAATGGCTGGCTTCACTCAACTGAGCCTTGTCATTCCGAACGGAAAACAAATGTATGTGAGTGATGTATGTACGGAATCCCGAATCGAAATTACGAAACAGAATTTCGTATGTATGTGGCTGGCCTTGTGCGTTCGGAATACCGAACCGAAAAAAGCCGCTCCGAACGCAAGTCTTCCATAGATTTTGTACTAGTCGCAACACACATTCGTAAATTCCGTACGGAATGCGCCCAGTGTAGGTCGCACAACCGAAGCGAATGGGTGATCTAATACATGGAGGATTATATTTTTCATCATGAAGAATACTTGTTGTTTTCAGTTCAAAGGAACTGCAAAAATTCTTTGTCAGTTTTCTTTTTTTGTCAGTTTGTCACACAATGTCATTTAATTGAGAAGATAGTTTTAAATAAAAGTTTATCAGTTTCTAGAGTATTATATTAATACACAAAACAATGTCTCAGTGGTTTGGTTTATTTATTTTTAATCTAATTAATATAAAATGTAACTAATAGTACAAAAACAAACATTATCCTTAACATTTTTCAAATATTACACTTCATTTTTAAACGGCGCCGCCTTGGCGGCAGAAAAAGACGTGGGTTCGTCATTTCTATAGCACCATAGACTTTACGCCAACATGATTCTTCCATCCCTGTTCTGTTCCCTTGAGCTTATCATTAAGAAATGAAATAATTTGTCGAGAGTATACAGAAATCCGATAGTATTAAAAAAACTGGATGGACTCGTAATTTGTATAGCCAGTATTATGTAATACTGGCTATCTGGTCATCTTAGGATGTTAAGGGGATGCACCCAGTAACGTTGGCAATATGTCTCCTTATTATCGCAATATCGTCGTCCATATTCACTGGCTAAATATCTGTACTCAATGGCTGGCATCACTTAACTGAGCCTTGTAATTCCGTACGAAAAAAACGGAATATCAAAACCGAATTCCGTATGTATGTGACCGGCCTTAGTTGTATTTATGATCGAACAATCATCAAAACCCATGTT